CCACATTTGCATATTAATTTATCGTGTTGCTGTGCTCCTATATGTGTGGCACCAACTGATAACACAGTCTTTGGTGACAGCCTATGTATCTAACTCAGTGTGACTGGAGGAGATAACAAAATTCAGCGTGCACAGCTGTGATTCTTCCGCTGGCCATAACGCTGTAATTAAAATTACTTGTCCTCCCACTCTCCAAAGTACAGTACAATATCATGTTCATCAAATTAAGCCAATCAAGATTGCTCTCTGTGTCCTTTTTTAATCTATAGGTAGACTCTGTTTCAAAGACTGCCTGTAATCACGGCAAGTGGAGCATCAGCATGTTGGAAGATCTAAGAGATTACCAAAAAGTTTTCAAAGTCTGTTGAAAAATGATGTCTGGCTTCAAAGTAGACTATTTTACTTCAAATGTGCACCACAGTTTTGCCTTAATACTGTAATATAAGAATTGTTTTCTTATATTTCACTCTTGTATTATCCTTTGCATAAGACCAAAGTATTACAGTACAAGCATATGAGTGAGAAATCATCCAATAAATCATTTTGTAACAAAGACGGAGGCTGTGGCTCAGTGGATAGTGTGCTGGACTTCAAATCAGGGGATAGCAAGTCGAGTCCCACTGCAGTCAGCATGTCGTTGTGTCCCTGGGCAAGACCCTTCACCCCAAATTGCTCCTGTGGGGATTGCCCACAGTACTGATTGTATGTAAGTCACTTTGGATAAAAGCGCCTAACAAATGACATGTAATGTAAAAGACCGAGCATGGAGAAATTACATATCTGAGCATTAAAGTGCACTAATGTGGTCGTACGCACGGTCAGCTCCAGAAAACACGGATAGCAATCCAGAGTAATGAGCTGGAGAGAGAGTCCCAGGAAGCTGCGTGTCTCGTTAGCTGATTAATGAGATCCTTGCAGAATTGGATTTGAATATCAATCCTGGCCTTTCGCTTAAACTGACATTAATTTCCACCTATTAGATTGGGTCTGCACCTCAATCACAATCACTGCCATCGAGAGATTAGAGGAGAGAACGATGGAAGGCCAGGCGAGTGCCTAGAGCTGTATCATCTAACAGCTGTGTGTGTGTGTTTTTTTATCTGAGTGTTTTATCTGATCCGGATGGTTACTAATTCCATTTCTTTATGGCGGTCACCGGGAACACCATGGGTGTTACAAAGTTGACTAAATCATCCAAAATTCAATGAAAGTGGTGATCAGCAATTGTATATGTTCAAATGTCTTAAAACCTGTTAGGCCCTAAGCCTGTTTTTCAGGTTTCAGGCTTGAAAATGACATTCCCAGAACAAATGACCATATCTTCCCTTCTAAAAGGGTTAAATTAATAATCTTTTTTATCAAAGTAATGATAAACCTGTGAGTTGGATGTAGAAAAGTCAGAATCAATATAGATGTTTTTTATTTTAAAGAAAATACAGATTGAACATGGTAAAAAACTGTAAATTATAGTGTCCGTCCAATAAATATGTTGTACTTATAGTGAAAACTAACCTTGGATGATGGGTTAGTAGACTAAAAGCTTTAGGAATCCAAAGTACAACAGATAATAAGTACCCTGTATCAAGATTGATGCAAAACAAGTGATATTTGACCTTTTTAGACAGATTTAGCTAAAAATACCTCTTCTGGGGCCATTTGGGTGGATTTTCCATATCTCTGGCCCCCCTTCTTCGATTTTGACATGTGACATCTCTTCCTGACCGTTAGAGCCAATAGAATCGAAGGGAAATCGTCCCATAGACTCTGATGTCAAAGAAAAAAAGGTTGTATATTTGCGCATGCAAGCCTGCTGCAGAGCGTAGGAATATCCCTGATCTGATATCTTGAAACGGAAAAGCAGTTTTATTGTTTATGGATTATCAGAACATTTCAAAGGGGACACAGTCACATTGGATATTAACCTATGGATTAACTACAGCATCGTTGTTATCGTTTTAATGCCATTGAAGACCAGTTTTGACCAGACAAAGACAAGGTAAGCCATGTTAGCGTTTTTGGCTACCTAGCATGTTTTGATGTAGGTTTTTGTTATTTTCTCCGCGAATTTGTAATCTTTGAGTGTTGAGGTGGGTACCAATAGATTCTGTGTCTCCTTACGATCATAAACGATGAGTTGGATGTGCACCTAGGATAAGTAATAAGGGTGCTAGGAGTGATTTTTGGTGCAGTAATAGGTTAGCATTTTTCGCTCGGGGCTAATTCAGAGGGTCAGTGTAAGCAAATTTGAGTTTTTAAAAATAAATCAAATGAAAAAGATCAGTTAAATGAGTTTTTTTCCGTTAAATGGATATTAAATATGAAGGTTCCTTAGACGTTGTTTCCTGCAAATGACGCGATTTCGGCCCCGGATACGGGACCGTGGGGCTTAAGAGGTTTGTAATTGAATGTAAAACAAAAAAGTTATGATTGATGAAAGTAGTAAATCAGTCAGATTTGACCCGAAGACAACAGGAGGGTTAATATTTAAATGTTTTCATCAAATATAACATATTCAACAAAAAAAATGCAATAACGTCCTTTAACCACTAGGGGTTAAAAAAAACTGTCAAGTTTACAGTGTTAACACAATAAATGATACTTTCCAGTATAATTTCCAGTTTAGTTTATGATGGATTTATTTGTATTATTAGTTAGACACTTATGTATGTATAACATCTGAAGATGTGTAGTTTTATTCATGTTTTCACATAATTTTACAGGATATTGCTATATTATTTCACATATTGTAGTTCAACACATTAATATCTGATTTGTAAAACGTCATAGACAGAAAGGTATATCCGTAATTGAATGGTAAGCTATTGAAATTCTGATTCCATAGATGTGTCTCCCATCCCCCAAAATCCCTGACTATTCTAAAATTAGTATTATCTTTAAAAACTACAAGTCCCTTTCTATCAGCTCTGCACCGTTATGGTGTAAATACAGCCTATCTACCAATTGGTTCAAATATAAAAGTCAACCGAATTACTATTGATACTGCAAGGAGACATATTGTGTGAAGAGAAATTGAAGATGTTGTTTAATTGCTGATATATTTATGATCCACGTCACATATTCAGTTTCGGCGGCATTTCTACCAGTTTGTCCAGAAGTCTTCTAATCAGGGCTCTATAAATAAAGAACTACAGCAGATATGTAATATGTAATGCAGCCGAACCGTGTATTACAATGCCGTTATGTGATGACTTCCAAAGAGAAAAGCAAGAACACGCGGAATAAAGAATTATTCTTATTTTTTTTAAATGTTTTCGGATTTCACATCGCATAAACACCATATCCCAACCTGCATTGCGGCTAAAACATCCAATCACCGAGCTTCAACGATAGCTGAGGATTATGAGTAGTTTGATGTAGTTCAAAACCTCTGAAAAAATAAATTTGTCTCAAAATCAAAAGGGAAAAACCTATGGGGAAAACACAAAAGCAGTGTACACAATTTAAACCAATTAATGTCATGTAATTAACAAGGATAAACGGATGTTTTTTAGTGGATGAGTACAGCAGATATCACTGTAAAATCATTTGACAGTGAGGGGAATACGGTTTTATTATGAAAACTTCGAGACCGGAAATACTATTTTCACCCGGTGAGGGTTGACGCTAACTTTACATGGACGCTGCCGTCAATAGAAATTAATAGGGGGAAAGACGTTCACGTTCTCCTAGCGAGACCTCAAATAATCTTCGTAATATCTATCAAACTATAAATCCTACACATCCACTGGATGTAGATTTTAAAAGTGCAATATACACTTCTCGCTAGAAATGTAATCAAAAAGCATTTTAATGGCCAAACTATCCTACAATTTAGGATTTTCCAGAGAGAGTTATTTTTTAATATAAGACCCACCGGAGTGTTTGCAGTCAACGGGAGCACTAGAGGTCGAAAACTTTCAAACGTGATTATAGGTCGTAATAAGCGCTTGAACAATCGACCTATTTGGTCGTATGAGTAGGAGGACTTGTTGAAATAAAAATAGTTTATCTCCTAGGGAACATGGATCTCAGCTGAGGCCCTGACAGTGTGTTCATTATGGATTAAAGAGGCCCTATTATGCTTTTTGGGGTTTTCTCTTTCGTTTGGTGTGTTTGTATAGGTTTTTGTTTAAGTAAATGGTCAGCAAAAGCTAAAATCACAAAGTTCACCCCAGGGGGAGTTTCTCTCTCATACGCTCCCTGCCTGAAACGCCTCAATCGGACTCCTTTGTTTACGTATGTAACATAGTGACATCACTATGTAACACATGTACATTATAGACCGATCACAAAATAGTTGGCCAGCTAACCAATCAGAGTAGACTGAGCTCTGGTTTCAGACAGAGGGTGAAAAGAGGTGGTATGAGAACAATAAATACCTTTTTAATATTGAAGTATTTAAACATGTCACTGTAAAGGCTAGGTCCTTTAGCATGATGATGCTAGATGAAACTTGCACCAGGATCATTAGGAATAATCTCCAGGGCACCATGAATGTCCGGGCCAGATAACAAACAGTAGTGGAGATTAAAATGGGCCAACAGAAAGACAGACCAGAAAACCAGAAGACATCATCGACAGGCTACGCTGGCACTAGGGATGAAATGTCACTTCACCAGGGTCATTTGGAATTTTAAAAGTAAAAGTAATGTGTAATGTGTCTATCCTTTATTTGTTCTTCTCCTTTTTCTCTCCCCCTCTTGTTCTCTTTCTCCCAGAGTAATTGATATGATATGAGCACTGGCAAGTGTAATCTTCTTTTAATTAAGACCTGCTGCTGGTATCGGCTTCCGCCTGATAGTGACTCACGGCCCTCTTGCTCTCATTTCTCTTCTCCTCTTCCATCATCAATTTTTTTTTCTAATGCTCCTCCAACTTTGGCTCCCTCATCTTTCTCCCGCTATCTCAACACTCAACTTGTAAGCCCCTTCTTATCATCTTCTCTGTCTATTTCTAACCTTTTTTCTCCTCTTTTCCACCCTTTTTCTCTTACACTGCAGTCCCAGCACCATGAAGAGGAAAAGAGAGCCCTCAGCAGGGAAATCATCCTCCTCAACAACCACCTCATGGAGGCGAAGATCACCATCAATAAACTCAGAGAGGACAACGTGAGTACAGAGAGCTTCAGTACATCATGTTATATTGGCTCCTGCTGACATCTCTGTCAGTGTTGTGCCTGAACGCTCACTTGTACAAAACCTGAACCTTTTGTGTGACTTCAGTTGAGGACATGACCAAAATATATTTCACCTTCAAGCCCACAAATTCAGCAGCAGCCAGAGGCATTAAGGACCTTAAAGGGCGGTTGCTGTCCTTTGCCGGTCTTTAGTGCCTTTATAGCACTTCTTCAACTCTGAGAACTCTTCCAAAAGCTGTTTCTCCTGATGGAAACACTTTGGCAGCCTTCCCCGCTAACCCACAATGTCTCTTATCCACTGTCTTCCTGCAAGTATGTGTGCTTCAAGGAGCCACAGCAGGAATTAACTATAAGCTACTGGGTGTTTTATAGTGATTATACTGAAATCAATTGGCACCCTCGGGCTGCTGAGTTTGGAGCCGGTGCTGTGGATCTGAGCTCTGGGGCATCTGGCTATCTGGTACCTCATTTTCTTTGAAGTGATTTAAGTGCTATTTCTACTAGGGGCTCTTGGTCAGGTTAGATTTCTCACTATGGTATATGGCAGTTTTTAGAATTTCTGAGCTATATAGTCTTTTGACAATCCCCCCGCATTGGTCCAGATTGATTTGAGTCAAGGTTCATTCAGAATTTGTCGCATCAGAGACAGCAGCAGGGAAGGCATTTTCTCAAGAGAGCATGCTTTAAATTAACTGCGTATGCCATGAAATAAAACAAATCACATTTCTAATGTGACATGCCTGACATGATAAAAAACAACAGAAACTCAACTCACGTTTCCTAAAACAACACTAACTAACATCTCAAAGGATTATTTTGCATCTACACAGCAAATACTCTACACCATACGTCCCCTGGTGGCACACAAAAAGCAGTCACTGTTAACTGGTTTGGGAGTTGAAACTGACAGAGAGGAGGCTCTGATGTTCGGGGAGGTATTGTCAGGGCCGGGGTGTGATGGAGGCACCGGGGAGCTACACTGCACCAAGAAGTGACCTTTAAAGGAGGAAGGATTTCAGAGAGGAGGGAGTAGAATAGAAAGAGAGCCAAACAGCTAACCACCCACACAGCTTTCATTCAGAAAAACTGAAAACAATTCAACCGAGCATCATCCACCAATGGATCATCCTCGCTCTGATCTAACATTTAAGTAAATATCTGACAACCATCCATAATAGAGAGAAACTATAGAGAATAAATAATGCTGCTCTATCTTCCTAGGCTGGAGCCTGCAGATAAGTGAATGCATTATAAAATTCGACTGAATTGGGCAGATATATTACAAATGAAAAAGTTCAGTGGAGTTAATAAGATCCTGTAATCCCCTGATGTCAACCTAGTGAAATAATAAAGCCAAGGTGAAAAATACCAGCTCACTAATTAAGCTCCACCAGCTCTAATGGATGATTTTCTTCCTTTGATTCGACGGTTCACTAAATCAGTAAATTGGCTAATCCAGCGGGCTACATGTCCTATTTTTCAATGGAATACAGCCCATTATGTCTGCTGCATATTATACGCTTTGCTATATTGTGTCAGAATTAAAACCATACATTCCAGGGTTCTTGTCTTGTTTCCCCCTTACCCATTATTAATGTATGAATACATCATTAATAGTAAATTGATACATTTATTTTTAGATTTGCTGTTGTAATTGTATCACGGTTAATTACCATAATGCTCCTGGCTGTAATCTCTTATACAATTCCCCCAAAAGCTTATTGAACCATCCGGCAACCATAATGATAAAGATTTTTAAGGCATCATTTGGTGATTATATAATCTGTCTGCGTCTTCCAGGATCTGTACAGGAAGGACTGCAACCTGGCCGCCCAGCTGCTGCAGTGCTCCAAGTCTCACTACCGCGCTCACAAGATGTCTGAGGTGAGCGCCACTGCATCAAAGTGTCCACTCAATCTGTTCTGCAATAAAAAGCGGAACTGTTTGGGAATTGAAATTCGTTTTTTTAACCATTTAGGCTTTCATTGCCAAGATTTTACATTTGGTTGAGTAACATTTTAAATAATACTTATTTATTTGTGTCTTGGTCTATATTAAGCAGCTCAAACACTAAGGTCATAGCATCTGTATTTAATATGGGAGTGCTACGTCTTGAAATAACATGGGGGGAGTTAAAACGTTTCTCCAAGTAGGGAATGAGTCCTTACCTTTTTCTCGAGTGAGGGAACAATGGAGCGTGAGATGGGCCGGAGAATCTGAGTAGCGGGAGCGGCACTGCAGTCGCTTTACCGCACCATTGTGACGAAAAGAGAGCTGAGCCAAAAGGCCGGGCCATTTTCGTTCCTACCCTCACCTATGGGAACAAGATCGCGGATACAAGCGGCCAAGATGGGTTTTCTCCACAGGGTGGCTGGCGTCTCCCTTAGGGATAAGGTGAGAAGTTTAGTCATCCGGGAGGGACTCGGAGTTGAACCGCTCCTCCTTCGCGTAGAAAGGAGCCAGTTGAGGTGGTTCGGGCACCTAGTAAGGATGCCACCTGGGCGCCTCCCCAGGCACGTCCAGCTGGGAAGAGACCAAGGGTAGACCTAGGACAAGGTGGAGGGATTATATCTCTTCACTGGCCTGGGAGCGCCTTGGGATCCCCCAGTCAGAGCTGGTTGATGTGGCCAGGGAAAATAAAGTTTGGGGCTCTCTGAACTGCTACCCCCGCGACCCGACCACGGATAAGCGGGAGAAGATGGATGGATGGATGGATGGATGGATGGATGGATGGATGTTGTCATGGAACTTTAAGGAATATAAGCATTAAGCCTCATATGAATTCAAGACAATCCGTTAATTGTTTGCCAGATTAGGAAATATTTAATCAAAGAATAAATAAACAAACCAGTTGATCAGATCACCACAGACACATTTTAGTAGGTACACCCCCCAACATTTTAAAACTAATGTTGGAAAATAGGATTAACCAAAAATATATCTAAACCATTATCAACAACATGACACTAATTTTACCGAGGTATTTGGGAGGACTTTTGACTATTGCCACAGTATTAATAATGACTGGCTATAGCTCTGAGCCTTGTGATAAAACGACATCATCCATCACTGAAATTATCCTGTACATATATTAAGTGTGTTATAATTTGTTCTTGATGCATTATTTCTGTAATGGAGAGAACTTGTGCAGTCTCCCTATAGAAGCCTTGGTGAGTGTTTTCACAGAGAAGACGGAGACACAGTGCTCCTCTTCAGCCTGATGGAAGTCTGCTGTCTGAAGAGCCATCTGTTTGCAGCCCGCTGTGCATAATGAATGAATGAAAGGAAATTTGGCCTTAGACAACACCTGATGCACAAAGGAATAAAGTGATACTCTCCAACAGAGCTGATAAGAGATTGAAGCACAGCATACATATCAAACATTTTTAAATCATTATATATGCATCAGTTATCATTTGTGAGGATACACGTATACAGTATATGAAAGGGGATTCTACTTCATAAACCTGTACAAATATGGTTTCTGTTTTTCTTATCATTCTATTTTAAATATACATAGTGGTAGACAAGAAGGCAAGATGGAGGTAAATGGTAGAGGAAGTCTATGTATCTATTGCAGAAAACGGGCACAGTGGTCACAAGCGACCAATATTGGCTAACAGTAAATGCTAAACACATTACAGACCCATTGGACCTATTGCCTAAGTGTTATTTGCAAGCATTCACTGCTAAGGAGAGGCTCTGAAAAAGGGAGAGGTTGTGCTTAATTGCTTACAACTGACACTTCTCGTTTTAAAAAGACTGTTTTCTGGTATTATAAACTATCACTTCCACAAAAATAATTTACCCCTGGAAATGTAAGATCTCGTCAAAATGTGAAGCATTTTGAAGAAATAGCTTCCACAGAATGGCTAGTGGCTAATAAGTTAATCTTTCATCTTTTCACACTGTATATCATTTTGTGCTTCCCCCCACAGCCTCACCTATTTTCCATCTGTATTCCCTCTGAGAGAGGCAGTGGCTGCTAAAAATAGCTCAGACTTAAAAGATGCAGGCTATTTTATGCCGCGGCGAGCTTCTATTTCTTAACAAAGCCAAGTCAGTATTTTATCTTTTTTTCATTTAATTCCCAGCTGGAGACCCGGAGCATTGGTTTAATTTGAATCTAAGCCGGTCCCTGTGGAACTGATATGTGTTTGATGGTAGACAGAAGAAAGACAGAACGAGAGAGAGAGAGAGAGGGAATGAGGGCCTTTCAGTTGTGAAGGCAGTGAGCAAAAGGAGGAAGATGAAAGGAGAAAAAATGGGAGGAGAAAAAAGAAAACTCTGTGTGGAAGAAACAGTTCATAGTGACCCGGACCAGCTCTAATAGGCACAAAGAAACATGTCTGTAATTGACAAGAACAGTTTTCTACAACATGAGCCAATCAAACTGTGTGTGTGTGTGTGTGTGTGTGTGTGTGTGTGTGTGTGTGTGTGTGTGTGTGTGTGTGTGTGTGTGTGTGTGTGTGTGTGTGTGTGTGTGTGTGTGTGTGTGTGTGTGTGTGTGTGTGTGTGTGTGTGTGTGTGTGTGTGTGTGTGTGTGTGTGTGTGTGTTTGAGAAAGTCATACAGCTAGAGCGGAGGAAAGAACTAGAAGGTTCAGATGGGAGAAAGGAGGAAACATACATATTTGGAAAGATGAAAATATATGTGTCCACAAAACATTTATTTTTCTTTCTTCACTTTTTGACAAAGTTATTGTAAGAAAACGGAACAAAATTGATATAAGGATTGTGTAGGGAGAAAAGGGAAGCTACAGATAAATGCAGATTGTGATCGGAGGTTTTCTGACATTTTCATTATAGGGGCCAAGTTGCACAATTCCTTTGAGATAGACAAACTAATCAGGACTGTGTGAGCTTTGCGAGAATGAATTAGTTTCTACACCAGGACTATAGATTTAAATCACTGAGGAATAACTTTAACCACACGTTCAGTGCAGACACAGATAGCATTGAATATGTTTAATGAACAGATCTAGGTTGATTGTATAAATAATTAAGAAAGTTGGGGATTGTTTTTTGAAATATTTTCTGGATAAATCTCTTTTCTATTTGTTTTTCTTAGCTGCCAGTGGGTCTGCAGGAACGCATCAGTTCCCACATGGAGAAACATAATCAAGGCAGTGGAGCAACCATTGCAATGTTCTCCTCCAATTACTCTGACGCCGTGCCCACATCTCTGATTGCCAAGGTCCTTGAAAAGCCTGAACCAGGCAGCAGTTGCCCGGTAACGCGCTCACCCAGCCCACAGCCACAAGATGGAGACTTTCTGACAGCAACAGGAAGCACTGACCACCTGAACCGCCGTATTTCCTATAAAACATCTGACCTGTACTGCAGCGATACGGCCCTCTACTGCCCTGAGCGATGGCAAAATGCAGAGCGCAGGCAGAGCGTCGACCTCCACGGCGCCGCGCTGTTCCAGCTTCAGGCCCAGAACTCCACGGACAGCAACCCGGATGAAGAGGCCTACCACTCTGGAAGTTTCTCCCACCATGAGCCCCAATCCCCCTTCAACCAACAGGACGACTTCGGCACTGGCAGCCTCCCGGCCTCCAGCTCCTACTCCAGCTTCAGCCTCGCATCAGACGAGAAGGGAGGGGTTATTGGTGGTGGTGGGCGCAACACCAGCAGCACCTTGTCCTCCTCCCACCAGGGTCTCTATATGGACTGGCGAGATGGTGGCAGCGGGGATTATGAGCGCAAAAGCATGTCCTCTTACGATAAAGACAGCCTAAGCTTCCCCAAGTCCCTCAGCATCCAGCACATGGCGATCCCAAGGAGTCCGCAGAAGAGCACCTCACCGGGGTACAGCAGGACGGCGTCATGCTTCAGTGAGCCGTACCACTCCAGCACCCCTCGCCTGGCCTCCTCTCATAGCATGGGATCCACAACCGGACTGGGCCAGGCTCGTGGGGGAGCTCTGGACAACAGAGGGGACGTCCCGGTCCCAGAGGACGACCTGAGCAGCCGCTGGAGGCAGCTCAGCGTGGAGGACATCAACACGTTCTCCTCTTCCTACCGCAACGTCGCAGGGCGGGCCTCTCCCTTCAGTTCCTCCGAGCGCCACTTCGCCATGGGCCCCTCCAGTAAGGTCAAGGGGTCTCTCTACAGCAGCTTCCAGGAAGGAGACGACGTCTTCCACAACCGCGTGCTGGACCAGTGTTTCACTGTGGCCCCCCTTTCGCCCAGCCGCAGCCCAAAACCCATGGAGCATCGTAAGCAGGAGAAAACAATGCTGTACCGAGCCAAGGAGGACAGTCAAGACTCCGAGGGCAGCTTGTTCCTCTCAGGGAGCTCCAAGGAGAAGGAGAGCGGTGGGGGAGCGAAGGCGGCAAGCAGCGCCAAGAAGGACTACGTCAACCTGAGCACAGACAGCACAGCAGTGTCCCTACACCAAAGCTCCCTGGAAGCCTCCAGTCTTCAGCACTACCCCTCCCCCCGGCCCAGTGTCCGGCCTCGTCCCAGCTCCAGCTCCGCCCTCAGCGTCGGCCCCACACTCCCAAAGAAGACCTCTCCAAGATACCAAAAATTTGGCAGCACGGGACTGACGAGGAAGGACAGTTTGACCAAGGCCCAGCTGTACGGTACACTACTGAACTGAGGAGAGATGTTCTTTTATGCATGATGATGATGATGATGATGATGATGATGATGATGATTCCTCACTTACTGTACTGTACTGTATGTCTCACAAGTTCCCTGCAGCAAACACATGCTGGGTGTGATGGGGAATTAGGTTGTTGGTGTTTTATGTAACTCTTAGCCAAGGCACGTTTCATTCAGTCTGCAACACTTTTTCTATCGTATGTGATGATAGCGACCTGAAACCAGCTTTTTTCTGTTTCATGACAATACCGATAATTAGAGTGACTGGGGATTTCTGCAACACAGCCCAGGCAACAACAACGTACTGTGCGATTTGCTTTTAAATGTTTTGGTGTTAAGAACTGTTAGTAAAACCAGCAGAAGACCATTAAATTCCTGCTCTAATATAATACAGTATAGATAATGGACTAAAGCGTGTGCAATGGGGTGACTTGTTTTGAGAAGGAAGGTGATCCATTATGTATTGTGGACCCTGCTGACTTCAGGCTGTTAAAAAAAAAAAACGTTTTCATTCTCTATTTCAAACAAAATGCATGCTGTATTATGCATATAAATAAGATAAGAAACACTAATTTCCAGCTTAATTGTTTCTCATGGGGACATTATCTGCAAACTCCACTTATTCAGTGGTAAGGAAGATGTGTTACTAAAAACTAAAGTATTGTATGCAAAAGCCATTTAATGTTAATAGCAATACACTCAATTTAGATTGCAAGAGATTCTTGATGCAAAATGTGTCACTTCTTTATATGGAAACTTAGCATAGAAATAGTCCAAAAATAAATATTGTTTAAGGTACATGTACAATTGTTTGCCAGGTGAACAAGAAAATAAATGATAAAGCAGAACTGTGAGATTTTCAGCTTGATTTTTCAGATTTTTTTATAAAAATTAGTAGTTACCCTCATACCAGGACGCTTGTGAAATTGCCTTAATCCTGTTCAATGGACAGCACGGTTTCCTTTACAATAACTGTGTACATACTGTATAATCTGCTCTATTGTTAATGTACGTATACTCTACTGTTACAGCGTCTGTTCTTCCTGTCATAACACACTTAAAGGTAGGGTAGGTAAGAATGGAGAAACCAGCTCGAGTGCGCTAGAATTTGAAAGTACACAACCGAAAAAAATCTGCCCCTTCCTTCAGACTTCCTTACAGAGCCCCTCCTCCAACACACATGAACGCGCACATGACCAATGAGGGCACGAGATAAGTTTGTGGGTTATTTCAGGTTATTTCCAGTTATTTTAGCCAGGCCGGCTAAAATGATTGGTCGTGCTTTTCACAGTACTACGGCTTCCACAGATGAAATATTTGTATATATTTATTGTCAAAGCATTTAATTTATTCATTGCTATCGGGATGTTAAGAGCATTCCATGGAATATAACAAAAAGTGTTTCTGAAGTGAATGACCTACCCTACCTTTAAGATTTCTTGGAAAGTCCATTATTAGATTAAGGATAATTCTTCAGTGGAGATATTCATTGACATTTGTTTTTAGTCAAAGACAATTAAGCTTAAACCCTTTCGGAGAGTTGAGAACATGCAGCCAAATGTTTACCCTGGAAATTCTTAAAGGTTACCTATTATGCAAAATACCCTTTTATGTCTTTAATACATAAATAAGTGTCCCCTCTGTGTTAAAGGATTTGGAAAGTTTCAGGAAAAGATATTCTCTCTCTTTTTGTCCTGATCCATCTATATAAAAACCTGTCTGAAAATTAGCCATTAGCCAATAACCAACCAAGGTAACACCCCCCCACCTTATCACCTGAATTTCCTCCAAGAGCACCATTGTGTTTTGTTTTTTTAACCAAACATCTCGCAGAGGGGCGTGGCCAGCAGCAGATCATTAGCATTTAAAGCCACAGATGCAGAATCAGCACTTTTCGAACAAGGCTGAATCAGAGGGGTTTACGGCATGCTACAATGGGTGATCTGTTGGGTATTTCGAGCCAAACGCTTCAGATCCATGTTTTGTATATCAGAGACTTATAATATATTGTTGAAAAATAGTATAATAGGGGACCTTTAAACACACATTTAGCACTAGTTGCACAAACCAAAAGTCTTCGTGTTTACTGGACGGATTAATGAAATATTCCCAAGGCATGTTCGCAAAAAAAAAGGTTTACAGAAAGTGAAAAGAAAGGAATGATTAAAGACAGAAATGTATAGTCACTGTGTTTTTAAACCAGCATGCTCAATTTCGAGAAAACACTGTGAAAATAGAAAGTGTATATACATAGAAAGTGGCAAGTCCTGTTGGTGAATTAAAAAGATGTACAGGATGTAAGATACAGAGCTGCAGAGAGGTTGACTTGCTGCTCAACAATCATGCTCCCATCTGTGTCAGTATAGAAGGAAAAAAGGTTCCAACATCTGTGTGCCCTGTGGCATGTTACATCTTCAAGGTGTCCCTCCTGCCTGCGTAGCTCTATAGATCTGAGAGGAATGGCGACAGGGATAAGCTAAATATTGAGAACCTAGCTTTGCCCTGCACTAGTAACGTATACATTTGTCTAGAAGGCCTCTTCCACTCCCATCCCCACAGATCTGGGAACTGGCTTAATGCTGTTTTTTTTTAAGATTTCAAAACTGCATCTCTTCTTATCAACCTTTGGCATGTTATGAAGGTGAAACTGTGCCACATATGGGTTAAGAGGTTTTTGATTTCATGTAACCAATGTACAGAGGGATTGAGAGGATATATGGTATTTTTGTTGTGATGTATAAAGAGATATAGATACTACAAACACAATTGTGATTACACTATGACTATTTTTTATCCAGTTTCAGTTGATGTTATATTTATTGAATGTTTTGACCCTGAATGAAGAGGCTGCCTGTTCTACCTCCAGCCCTGTTCCAGGAACAACAGGCCGGCTGTCTAAATGTCCACATATGTGTCTGTCTGATGCATGGTTATATATTTTTGCTGTAATTTTATTTACATAATAAAGACGGCTGTTGGAAAATACGTCATGGACTTCCAAGGGTATTATTTCACATTACTTCTTTTACAAACTTTAAATCCTACAGAGTGGAGAAATGTCTTGATCTGCAGGTTCAGAGGGCGGGACAGTTCTCAAAATCCTTAAAGCATTTGTTGCGATTCCATTTGACTTCCTCAAGTTATTGTAGCAAGTTTAGACAACCGCAAAAATGCTTCCCATTCCCAAAATTGCATGAAAATTAGAAATATGTCAATTTCCACCTCCTAGCCTGCTTTTGCAATGGTTAGCTTTAGGCAGGGAGCAGAGGTTCGCTGGAGAAAGCGTTTTTCCCGTGGGATTTTTATTTTTGAAGTTTGCTGTGTCTGTCTTTTGCCATTTCCTAAATCTTTGTGAACATTTTCTTGATAGTTTTATTGATTTTAAGGGTTTAGAAAGCTGGTAACAGGAATTGTTATGAAAATGGCCAGACTCACAGATGTGTAGGTGATTTTGGCATTGAATTTTCCCTAAATATTTCTTCAAACTACCTTGAATACTTATGTGACAGTTTTCACACCAACACAGACATATATATCACTTGAATTGTTTAATTTTAAACAGAAAGATGTGTATTTGTTGGTATAAGCTTGGTTACTTACCCGTTGAATATCAAAAAGGCAGCAGAATCTTCAAAGACGTCTCCTTCAAGGCTCTCCAACATTTACCCTGATTTTTTTTGTATGTTGCTAGTCTTGAACTTTATTCTTTGGTCTTTTGAAGCTTTATTGTTTCATCTTTTTTTAAATTGTTTTAACGTTAATTACCACTCGCCAGCAAAAACACAAAGAAGGACCACAGTACTGCAAACGGCAGAAGCTATTTATGTAAATTATAATTTGGCTTCACAATTTCCCTGTTGGTCCTTTAAGACAATAATGTCAGTTGAACTTTTAATAAGTACAGTATAAACAACTGCAGGGGAAACACACACAAACCAGCACATTGTATTTTAAGGCTTGTTCTCCAGATACTGAATAAAGATCACAGGCATCTGTCTGCACTTCACTGATCTGTTGTTGGCAGGATTTTGGAAGAACCGGCAATGTTTTAAAGATGTATTTTCTTTAGTTGTCTGGTTGTCTTTCTGTGATGCTTTAAGCTGTCAGTGTGAAAACGACATGTCATAACAAAGCAGGGAGAACAAAAAGGCACAGAGAAAAGTGATGTGTATGCACAATGTGGATTGAAAAACACTTCTGATTAGAAAAAGGCCTTAAGAGATCTTTTTAAGAACATGATGATGTTTTGGGAAGCTTTTTTGGGAGTAGAAAAACTAACTATAAAAGCATTCAGATAGTGTGTGTGTGTGTGTGTGTGTGTGTGTGTGTGTGTGTGTGTGTGTGTGTGTGTGTGTGTGTGTGTGTGTGTGTGTGTGTGTGTGTGTGTGTGTGTGTGTGTGTGTGTGTGTGTGTGTGTGTGTGTGTGTATTTCATCTAGACTGCTTTAACACCGCCTACCACTGCAGACATATCTCTCACGCAAGTAACTTTCTTTTATCTCAAGCAGTGTGTCTATCCCAGATTGTCAGTTGAATCAATGCAAACAAAATGCCAAAGATGCAAAACAATCGTATTGCTTACAAAACATTTACACAAAAGATCAGTTCAAATCAATGACAATAAAGATGTGGGTGGTTTTGAATTGTTTTCAGAGCATCGTAAGACAACAAATACACCGTTTTCAAAGCGTCAGTAGATCTGCTGACTCCAAGTTCTTATCATTTTATGCCAAGGGATTATAGGAGATAAAGTCATGGAGATGGATGTTAGTCTTCTCTTGGCCTACTTTAGTCCATATTTACTTGTTCATTCTCAGTCTTTACTGCCAGACCTTGATCTCTCCGGCCCAGTCGCAGGTGGCTGCAGTCGCCGGCAGAACGGGATGCTGGGCAACGCACAGGCAGGGCTGGCTGTGGGCGCGGAGAGTGTGCAGCATGTGAGCGTTGTGGTAATCGTAGAAGTGGGCGGAGCCAGTGGAGCTTCCTGAGGCCAGGATACTTCCATCCAGAGAAAACTCACACTGCACTGCATATCCCTCCACCTGCAACAAGAATATATGAGTCAATCACGCTGCAATAAACTTCCACAAAGAGGCATTTTAACGTCTGAGTAATTCCAGGTTCGGGATCCAGTTTCTAAACACACTTGGGCAGCCTAAATGTTAGAATAGCGTGCATGTGTTCTTACAATACACAGCTTAAAGCCAACAATGACAATAGTTAGAGTAGGATGACTCAAAATGGCCCTGACCATGAGATAAGGTATTATTAATAAGAAGGCAGGTTTTGTTTAGTTTTTCTGCTTCATTGAGTTTTATTTTCTCTCAATCTCTTATTTTTTGTTTATACTGAATATGTTTTGCTTGATCTTAATGGCACAAACATGATTCCATACATCTTGGGCTTTTATTGAGATAGGTAAGAAGAGATGGGGTTTTGCTGTAGTATATAAATAAATGACCAAACATTTTGTTTTATTTATTAAGATATTTTATTATAGGCACAACAAGTGCTATTCTCTTCCTCTGCCGTATATATCGACTCCTCTTTAAAAGCGAGTTTGCAGGGAACCATTATAAACGCAGATGGTGTCATTATTCTGCAGCCATTAAATGATGCAATTGAAATATACCTCGTAACGACAGAAAAAAGGAAAAATGCTGTCTATTGCCAAGTTGAGTTATACCTAAAAACTTTACTTTATTTGTAGGTATTTATGTCAATAAAGTCTTAAGGCTCTAGTAACGTATTATAATAACGATAAAGGTTGTGTGATGCGCTGACAGGTTGCTTACACATTTACTCTTTTAGAAATGCTACAAAAGACTAATAAAGTACATAAGAAAGAAAGTGGGGAAAAAGGTTCAGACATTAAATAACTTTGTGTTTTCTGAAATGTTCCATTTTCTTTCGGTTTGAAAGGTTGTGTTTTGCACCTCAGGGCCACCGACAAAAAAAACCTGGAATGTGAGATACCAATTTGTTTTCTGTCCATCTCTGGATTTGTCTTGAATCAATAAACCAGACGCCACGGTAGCAGCTCAACGTGCTCTCAGTAATATTTGCCAGCCATATTCTGCTCTGTTTGCCCGCCTCAGTGGAAATATTGCTTTGTACTTAGTGTGTTTGTTTTAGGAGAGGGGGGCTGAGGAGGAAACAGGGTATGGATCTACGCTGCATATTGACTGTTTTGTGTAGGTTGCCATGGGCGTTTCATCTGTGTGTGTTTGGGTTTGTTTCAGTGACTTTGAACAGTTTGGTGTGCGTGTGTGAAGCTGCTGAAGTTGTTAGTGTGCGTGTTCATTCTGTATTGATGAGGCCTGCGTTAGACCCGACCCCTTCACATCCCCCACCCCGAGGCCACAGTCGTTCCTGACCTTGTGTCCTTCGAATCGCCGCCTCTTGTTCATTCTGAAGGGCCGCTGGGAGGAGAACGCCGCCATGTAGTCCCCGTTAGTCTGGGCAACAAAGGACTCCTCGAGTGGGTGGAGAGCCAGGCTCGGGCACGTGAATCGCTCCTGGAGGCCAAATGCATGCAGGGAAAAAACAGAGTGAATGATTTCATTATTTTACCTTTTTGTTGCTGTTGCTAACCATGAAGTTAGCTGCATGTCAACTATAACATTATATGAAAACATTTTATATTCAGAAGAGGAGTGGGAGGACAAATTAGTGGATACCCTGTATAATGCTGCAATTCATCCACTGAGGTCATATATGAGGCCATGGCTTGTATTGGATTGTATGAATATGGTATATTACACTGTTACTATATCCACCCACGTTTCAATAGCAGTGTGAAGAATTTACATAATCCTGGAGACTTCCTCTACTATACAATAAATGTTAAATTCAACTGCAGAAACACTGAGTTCAAGGACACACACACACACACACACACACACACACACACACACACACACACACACACACACACACACACACACACACACACACACACACACACACACAGGTTTATTCAGTAGAACGCACACTTCCTTCAGCACTATGTAAATGTCAAAATATGCCAGCTCCACATGCCTCATCACAAACTTGTCAGGGAGTTCAAACTATTCAGAAATGCACCTTAACTGTGAAATATATTGAGGCTGTTAAATTCAAGCTGCTTCTTAGCCTTTTTAGCTGATGACTTTTGAAATCATGTGCCAATCAGAACAGGAACCCTTTTTTCTCTTAACACTTTATTTTGGAATTGTATTTGGAAAGTTTCTCCACAAATAGTTTGTAAAATTACAACAGCTTATTAGCTAACATGTAACAATTATACTGTTTTGCTTTGCCTGTACAGTATATGTTGAAAAGATTATGTCTGGAGTTGTTATGACAATTCATGAACATACATATACTCAGAACAACCTATGATCATTTATGTAGCAAGGGTTGTTGTGTGATCAGTTCATATAAACACATAATTATATGTAGTGGGGGAAACTTCTGGAGCAATTGGAAACAGGACTCAGAGAGGCACGAGGAGAGCTGGAGCTTTGGTGGCAAACACTGGTGGTTTATTTGGAGTTACAGCTGGAGAATTGACAAGACAGGGGGTGTGTCACGAGTTGACACAGCGGTTGCTAAACCAATTCTGAAGAATTCTTCTGCAGCTCGATGTTTTAACTAGTTCGGAGTGTAATAATCAACATTCTTCATCAGTGAGACTAAACTATGGACCCTGAATCTAACTAGAGCTCTCGTCCATATAAAAGAATGTGCGCCAGGGAACCTACGTCCCTGAACAGTAAACTACCTCATGGCGGCTTGTGCTCTGTCATAGACTGGCAACAACAATGCGCCCAAGCTGCTCCTCCTTAAAAGAGATAGCAGCAATGGAGGAGACAGTAAAGATACAGGAGACAGTAAAGAGAGAACACGATGAACTGGGTCGAAGGTTGAATACCTAAGCAAATTATTCCCTAACAGGTATGTTTATAAATTCTCACATTTACTCTATGTATAACATATTGAATATCTACTGACAAATCAAAACAAACAAAAAAACCTCAATTGTTGAATCTTAACCAACAAGCTGTTGAAATGCTACAGATACTCTATAAACTACTGTATGTAGGCAGCATATCAAAATGGAGTGTAAACATGTTCCTCTTCCACATAGAGACTTCCTGACCTGGTAGATCTGGTTGGAGAGCCTGGCGGTGGTCTGGTAGTCCCAGGCGATGAGCGTGCGGTCGGCCGAGTCTCTGCTCACACAGTCAGAGCTCGATATGAAGTCCACACCACCTCTCAGAAACAGGATGTCCAAGGTCTGCTGGACCCCGGCTTTGTACACTTTCTCCACCTGGAAACACACATAAATATTAAACCTCATAGTAAAACATTCCATATAAGATATAGCGGGAAGTGTCTCTGTTTGAGACACTTCTCAAACTTAAGTAGTTATTTAAACGACATTTTAATTTAGTTAGAATTGAGCCACCCCTTCTTGCTTTAATACACAATGTTAATGGCTCTCAGGAACAGGAAGGAGGGAAACATCTGGACCTCTGCATTTAAGGCGGGATGACAAGATAATTACTTCAGTTCAGTCAGACAACTCACGTGTTTCTTTAACATGTTTATTAGAAGCAGCATATACTGTAGTTGAGTTTGGCGTCTAGGCTCGGGCATCATCACTCCACAGATATACATAGCACGATGAGTGATGATTAAATAACTATAGCCTACAGGTGGAAGCTGGGGTGGAAGCTGGGGTGGTGGTGGGGCAGGCAAGCAGCAGCAACGTAGAGGTAGCTGCAGCAATAGCAGCATGGAGAGAGATCATGCATTGCCAGTGGCAGGTTAAATAGAGCGGCATATTACGGAGACTCTGTTTGGTTGGTTGTAGAGTGGCAAGGGGCGTTATGTATAAATGCAGCATAAGTGCTCGAGTTGACTGCCTGAACTAGCTCGCAGGCTTCGCCCCATTAGAGTTGTAAGCTGTGTTTGCCTAAAAACACTTGCACAATTACCTTGTTCTTATGCACACACACCAGCATATAAGTTCATCACAGTGCTGCACTGAGGTTATAGTATAAACACAGGGAGTGAAGCCACCATCGGGCCGCATTTATATTTCATATTTACTAACCCTAACAAAAAAGCATCAAAATCAAGTGTTAAAGCGGCCGTTTCAGGTCAACTTGAATAAACTCACTCCACCATTTTCAGTTGATCTCAGTGAAAAATGCTGAAATGACATTAGTCTTTGTCTCAATTTGGAGGGACACAAATTGATCCTACTTCTGTGTGAAGGCCACAGCTTTCTTTTTTACAAATCAGATTACTTATCTTCAGAGGTGCTACACTACAAGGCACAATTTAACATTCAACTGTAGAATAGCTGCCTCTACTAGGATGGGTTAAATGCAGAGAACACATTTCACTGTGTGTGCTGTGTGCTCTGCATGTGTGACCATTAAAGAGGGTTTCATCCCTCCCAATCTATCTATCTATCTATCCCTTAACTACAACTTAAACTGCTCTCCTTTGCTTTGTAACATGAACCACATTTTAATCAGTGAGGTTTAACAAACAACAGTAGAGCAGTTTCAGGCAGCCGGCTCGACCTCAGCAGTCCCATTGGAGGACTTCAGCCTAATAGTTTAATGTTGTGCCTGTGAGAATTGGACCTTTTATCTAGTTGGGTAATATCAGCCCAAAGAAGGGATAACGCAGCCCAGGACTAAGACTGACAGGCAGCCACGGATCTACAGCATTAACAGGACCGGTCTACGCTCACATCAACACACCAGCTGAAGCAATCCCTGCTCTATTTAATTAAAAAACCCTGCAGGGAAACGATTCAGCCGTAGGGAAAAAAGACATGTGAGCGTTCAGATTGTGAGGAGGTGAAGAGTATTATCATATAAAACAGTCCATTAAGCGTAATAGAAAAGCAAGGCTGCAGCTTCATGGGAACAATTTATGAGTCGTAAATGAAATAAAAATGTGCTCTGAACAATTAGTGTGAGAACCTGCAGTGCTGCTTCGATGCATACGGCTTTACTGCCCTTTGAGTGAAGTACATCATGGGTGCGCGGCCAAATAGACACCCTATTTGTAGTGGTGTGTAACTCTGAGTGTGTAGGAGGGAGCGAATGTTTAAAACCGACCTGCCTCAGATTTATAAGTTCAAAAAAACGTATGTGAGGCGAAGTCAATAAAAATGATAATTCTACGATAGGGAGGTTAATAAGTTTGACCTTGCAGCTGCGGGAGTCCCAGGCCTTCACCATTGAACTGTAACCACCGCACAGGAACACGTGGGGGTCGCTGGGATGCAGGACAGCGCACATCACTTTGAACTGGTTGTCCAATTTCACCAGCTGCTGTCCTACAGACAGGAAGACATGAGAGAGAGAGAGGGAAAAGGTAGAGGTAGAGAGAGAGAGGGAAAAGGTAGAGAGAAAACAAATCCATCATTTTTTGTCGCTACAGCTCACTTGGTTTACATACTGTCAAACCAAAACATGAAGGAAACGGGAATAAAGCTCACATTTGCAACATGGCTCATTATCTAAAATGTCACATGGCTCTCACAAACGTAAATCCTAAAATATAGCATTAAAGATATGTTTTTCACTATCTTTGAGATCCATGAAACAAGGCTATTTTGACATTTCTACAATTTAAGTCTTGAATATAACGTATTTTATGTTGAATGGAAGCACTGCTTTGATATGTAATGCTAGAAAGGTGATGCTTCTATGTATTTTTTTGTTGTGAAATGACAAGACTAAACCAAATAAGAAAATCATTTAAATTACATTTCATTTGAGATGCAAATCCTCCTGAAACTTGTCTTTGGTTTATTAATTGAGCACAGTGCCCATTAGATTCTGTGCAGTAAACAGTGTGTGTAATTCAATGGTGCCGTCGCCTTTGCTTATAAACAGAGTGATTGGAAAACAAGCTCACTGATAAAAGATACAGTAAATCTGGATGTAAGTTGCTGCCAAAGAGAAAAGTGTTCCCAACTCAGTGGACCTTCTGAAATTCAGGAATAATTAATGTTACATTAAATGGCAAAACGTTTTCTGTGGTCATTTTAAGGTCAGCAGAGCTTCTCGACAGGCTAAATTACACAAAGTGTGTTTTGATAATATACAACTATTAAGTTATCATCGGATGCCCCAGAGCAGTTTAACAAATCAATTGCCTGTCTCAATTTCACAGCTTTGGTGTGCAGGTTAGTATCTAAAAAGTTTAAATATAATCTAAACTAACAAAGACGTTCAGAAGAGAATTATGAAACACTGTTTTGGCTGGAGGCGGCTTTATCTAATATCAGTTTAAAAATGTCATATTTAGAAACAAAACAAAAACACTGAGGGGATTAAATATAATTAGGCCTGTCAGGGTGCGACCAAAAATACATTTCCTGGGAAAACGTTAAAAAAAAAACTACACAAGGAACTTAAGCTAAGCTAGCTGCTCTGTCAAAGGCTATGCAAAGTGGAACAGCTCAGGGTTCACCGGCTCCTCATTAATTCAACAACAACACCCCATCCAAACAGCCTTAGCCCCACAAGAAAAACGCACTTCATTACACACTAGTCCTAGGAAGTTCTTTGTAGAAGGGGCAATGAGTCACAGCTCATAAACTGCTGCAAAAATTGACCTTTTTTCACTTAATGGCAGACTAGCTCGCTTTTAAATTCGTCTGCATTGATCCAAAGTTTTAAAAGGCAATTTTGTCAGGTTCAGACTTCCTGTTTAATTGGCTTAACCACAGAGATCTTTCATTGAGATTTAAAAATGATGTTTGGCAAGGCGATGAAAAATCAACACTGTTCTTATAATAAATGGGGCATCGTCATGTTTTTAATTAAGCAAGATTAATTAGTTTGCTTTAGGGGGGAGATAAGGAAAGTCTGCAGTGATCTGTCCCTCCACTCACGATAGTTTACTTTAGTCCTAAAAAGAGCTGTGATCATGCTGTGGAGTGACACACACAGCGGATAACTACAGAGCAGGGGACATTAGGAACGATTGGAGCCAGCCCCTTAGAGCAGTGGGAAGCTAGCATGAAATGGATATTATGCCTCATTAACGGCTCCACCAAAGCGGGGTGCTGCCACCGCTACATACACAAAGGTTAGAAAAACATTGCTGGGTTTTGACAGTCCAAATACATGTTTTGGTAAATAAGCCATATGTGTAACTGGTTTCAAATATGTACAGTGACCTCCAGCTACATTTAGGAGGTGTTGGAAATTAAAGCTTATATATGCTTTACTGGTCATGTGTTTAATTAGCACACTCACATTGATAACCAAGCTTAAAAGGAGAGAACAACGTCTGCATAATGGATTTTTGTGAAAGCACAAGTGAGCAGCACTTATCGCTCATGTGAGGAGGGTTGCTGATGACACGAGGGTGGCAAATTATACTTAATATTTAAGATATTCACTTCAAGCGCAGAAGACCTTAATTTTCTGAAGGGAACAGGAAGAAAGTACCCTTGAGTAGTCAAATGTATACAAGTGTCAAGCTACTCCAAAAAAAAGATTGACTTCAAGAAACTCACGCCACTTGATGTCAGATGCTTTGAAATGACATAATCACATTAGCATTTTCTATATATTTAAAAATAGACCAATGTTTCTATGTTTACAACATGTGCATCTGAGCAGGTTATAAATGAGACAGTCACCACAGTGAATAACAATCAAGTAGATAGTCCGAGCAGGTTACTACGGTAACTTGAAGGTTTAAAGTAGGTCAAAATGCACATATGCTTGCCGGTGGCATTTGGAGTAAATGCTTCTGAGTGTGCTGCTGCATGCATTGTCTCCTGAGGAGCACTGCTTAAAGTTCCCGAGCGAATACCGCCTCAGTGTACGAGTTACCTCTTGAATGTGCGAAGGAGGCATCAAGAACATAATATTAAATTGTAAACAAAATGAAATACAGAAAAACTCCAACATGATGCCAATAATATTTAAACTTTATATTGGATCAGTCTCACGATTGCCATTATCTAGGTTATCATTATATAAAGGATAATGTTTTCTTATAATACATATAAAATGTTACAAAGAAAATAGCCTGGAGCCACTGTTAGAAACATTACAATCTATTTATTTCTGAAATCAAAAGTATGTCTTTATATATCTTTATTGTTAAGTTCCTGCTGTGTAAATGTGTAAAACATTTATAAAACAAAAGATGTACCTGAAGTAGCTGCAGCCAAAATGCTGTCCAACGTCTAAATATCAGGACAGATTTATAGTCTGGACAGGATTTAGTCACATCAATTATAAGATTGGCTTGGAGGTATACTGACATTTTGTATCAAACTATTTTCTGTGGGATGACCCAAAGTGTCAAACCCTTGCGACTCAATATTTTGTCCTTGCTCCTCGGGCACAAGTACTTTTTAGCTCATTCTCAACTAACGCATTGCAATGATGTGAAACTCCATCTCACAGATAAACTATTATTGAACGCTTCTGCTCATCGAAATATGATTCTGCTAAACCAAGGGGAGCTGGAAGGGCATCTCACTCGCTCACTCCAGCACTGACAAAATCTTCGTGTATATTTGTTTCGTTTTTTTGAAAGCAAGGACACTCTCCTCTCTGCCAGTGCCTGAAGGCATCTGCACAGAAAACTCAAGTTGTGCATACACATGAACGAACTGACATTTCAACCTGTGGCAGCCTGAGGGGAGATGAGCATATTTTCCCACACCGCCCTCTGCCAATCAGCTTTTCCAAGGACAGCCGAGGAAGCTCTGGACAACAGCTGCCACCTCAGACTAATGCCCTCCAGAATAAATGCATTTTATTCCACTCCCCAACTCCTGCTTTTCTGATTTCTTTCTCTCGCATTCTTCCACTGCCCTCTCTTTCTCATTCCGCATTATGCCTCCTAACCTGCGCTCCCTCTTTATATCCTCCTCTCCCGCCTCTTTTGCTATTCAGCTGTGACAGCCTGCCTGTGGCCCGCTGGGAGTGGATATAAAGATTCTACAAATTCAATTGGACACAGGAACAACTGCAAAGACAGCCAGAGAAAATGGGCTCACACACCATTCTGAATGCTTAGACTTCTTTTATATGTCTCTTATAAATACCAATTGGAGCAGCATTTGGAGGCTGTGGTCAAATACGGGTCAGGTGTCTTATAAAACCCCCTCATTAAAGAGCCTGCAGACGTTTCTGAAGAGAGCGCAATTGAACAGAATAGGCCCAGCTGCCTTCCTTGTTAGAGTAAACGGCTCGGCATTACTGTGAAGAGCTAAAGATCACATTCACCCTGATTACAGTCTGATGTGGCAAACACTCAGCTTCCTCAGCGTCCACTCACTACTGGTAGAATTAGTGAAATTCAATATTAATCTGTAATGGTGCCAGGACCTTTTTATAGCCCTACGAGTGTGCCATTTGCATGATCTCCTGGAAAGATGGGAGCAAACAATGTCGTGTTAAGAACCACAGTCATTTGAAATTATGCAGCTTGGCCTCTATGCTATTTTCACTGCTCGAAAAATAATTGGTTTTAAAGTGTCAGTGCCGAGGTTTTTACGAGCACACAATAAAATGTACTACAATTGAGCAGAAACTGGGCAACTCCCATGTTAATATGCAACTTAATTACATTTTCTTTATCTTGTGACGCCAAAAGAATAGCTGTGCAGAACCAGCACACTTCTTAAGCCTCACCCTCAAAAATAAATAAATCATAAGAAAATAAAAAGGGTTAGAAAATATCATAAAAAATGAGATTTTCCACATTATTGCCTAGAAAACTGATTATGTTTAGCTTGAAGAAGGCCCTATAAACAATGTGTGGAGGACGTGATGACACCTCTCAAATTTGTACAACTTAATCCACCATCCTCTTCCGGAAGATTCTGTAAAGGTCCCTTTCTTTTTTAATTTGGAAACAAATTCCCGTCTGCTAGTGCAGCCCTATCATAAATCCTAACCATATTCCCTCTCTTTTTCATCTTACTTTCATCCATTTCATTTAAATGTAATTATAACTCATCTGGAAAATGTCCATAAATAAAGTAGAATAATACAAACTAAGAAATACATACAAATAAAACAATATGTTTAACCTCAACAAGTTCAAAGTTGAAGTTTTGGCCATAAATGTGAGGACAGTTTAGCCCTTTTTTTCACTTGAGGGTCTTTCATCTTTTTACTGATTCAGGTTGGAGGAGGTCATTACGTTTCTACATACAATAGTAAACAGTGACGATAACCAATTCCTTTACTATAGCCAAAAGAAAAAAAGAAAAAGTGGTGCAGGATTGTTGTGCGACGGCTCTTTGGATGTCTGACATCACTTCAAAGTTGTACGTTTGACCTCACTATGACATCCCACGGTGCTGAGCAAGGCAGCGGTGTAAGACCAATGTTCTATTTATGGTGGTTGTTTGTGACGTTACAGTGTAAGGTCATGGTTGCTGCTCCTGCGGTGATGTATCCATTATTGATCCCCTTCCTGGAGCTGCCTGTGTGTTTACTGGGCTGGCCACGCTATTATCCCTAGGCTCTATTGACAGTATTGACAGACATGCTGCGAGGGGAAGTGCAAACGGCAGCAAGGCATCATAGCAATGTGTTGACCCTAGAGCTGTAGATGCGACAGGGGCTTTAAAACTATGAGGATCGTATGTTGGCTCATTGTGTTAAGCCCCTCCGAGTCTATGATACCACAGCCATTTAAATGTCGGGGAAAGGACGATGGGACAAATGGGGGTTTTTATTTCAGCTGTGTGGAAATTCATGATTTGTTACCAAATGATTGATCAGTTGTAAATGTCACCTTGAATGGTATGTATGGTCACCAAAGAAATAAGAAGTAGGATATCCAATGAGCCAGCAGATTTAGTTCAAGGTTAATACAAATATTGGAAATGTACAGAAAGTAATAATGATCAATGTCTTTGTATATGTAGGTTTGTGTGTGATATGAAGAGAGGGAGAATAAAGCAAGAGTGATGTCTCATTTTAGGAAGGTGTAGACATAAGTTTCAATGTTACAGTTTCAATTCAACAACTTCATTCCTCCTCTCTAAATGACGGCAGGTTTTCCATAATACATTCTCAAATACCAGAAGGCAGCAATCCTTGAGTTACTTGGAGGAATCTTTGCAATGGAATCATTTACTAACCTTAAATTCGGACTAGAAAAAAAACTAACTAAATTAGCAAGAGGTACAATGGCCAAGAAGTAGTTTTCCTACAATTCGAGCAATACGTTTAGAGACATTTTAATCCAAAAAGCAGCTCAAACTACATTTCAATTCAATAAATGTAAAGCTGAGTCGTTGTAACTTCTTCAGTTTTTAAGAAAACACAAAAAGCTTCACCAAAGTTATTGAAGTTGAACTTTCCTGGCCTGTAGTCAAATGCAAAATCGTTGTTATGCGACATTGTGTTCATCAGAGCCTGGAGAAAGTTGTTGCTTCTCACCTGTCTCAACATCTGTGATCACAGCCGTGTTGTCAAAGGATCCGGTGAGGAGGCGTCGTCCGCAGGGGGTCCAACAGGCATCACGCACGGCTCCCGAATGGCAGGTGTAGACCCTCAGGCATCGCCCGCTTTCCGCGCCGTCCCACACCTGCCAGATATGAGCACATCGCATCAAGCCAAAGCCACAAACACACGGAGGCTGCAGAAACACGGTCGCTGGAGGGGAGAGTGTTTAGCTTGAAAAACAAAGTGCATATAGAACAACTTCAATTGGCGGGAAGTGATTGAAGAGTTTAACAAAATGGTCAAATCCAGTCATTTGTGCTCAGCCTAAGTTTGCTTAAAAAAGGTAATGTACAGTAGGTGTGCTAACAGGCTAAACGTTTGAACTGACACACACAGCTTTTCTTCAAACAAACGGGAGGAGGAATCTGCATGCTTTAGATGACGCTTCAAAGCACTGACAGTCAAATAGTCTCGCTTTTCTTTGGCAGCACCCAAACCGAAGAAAAACAAACTGACATCTCTCTGCCATGCCTTTGCAGACGATGCATTGAAAGTGAAAGGGATATAATCGTTTCATTCCTGCCCTTAATTATATTGTAATGACACGAAATGGATTGGCTCGGCAAAGTATGGCTGGATAAGTTGGTAAAATATGTATACAAATCAGGCTTATTTGCTGGATTTAAAAGCAAGGACAACCTTACTAATGAATGAATCAAAGTAATGACCTTTGAGAGTGCCTGTAAATCAATTCCCTGCAGAGTGTAAAGGCTGTAATGGTTTGTATTAGAGGTTTCTCTGATTATAGTGAGAGCAAGAGAAAAGCCCCCAGCTGCCATCTGTTAGTTGGGACTGCCACGACTAAAAAGGGTTGGAAATGTTACAATATGATGTAAATAAATAGCAATAGTCCTTAAAAAGCAGACAGTGATTTATGAATAAGGGTTTAATCTACCAGGTTGTTGATTGTGACAGTCCTTGTTGTGGTGTTTTTTGCACTGTACTTCAAAAAGATCACTTGTGATGCTGGTCACTATTGCAATGACATGCTTTTTTTAATCAGATTTACAGATGAAATATAGAGAGAAATAGATTTTATGTCACATATGTCAACGGACAAAAGCTCCTCAGTGGTCCGGTTGCGTGCCCACTGAGCTATATGACACTAATGATGAAGTATGTTTTGCTTCCCCAGCATTGCCAGGGCCACAGAGGGACTTTCAAGATCTGTGGGGCCCAGCAGCCTCTCCCTGTGTTTTATTATTAACGCTGAATTCACCATACAGCATAATAAAGTAAAGAAACACAGAAGTTCTGTACCTCCCCCCCTCATCTCCTTACCCCCCATCTGTCCCCTGGGGGGGAGGCTGACATATCCATCCAGCAGGCAGCGGTTTGACAAACAGAATGGCAGCGATGCCTTCAGGGCGGGAAAAAAGTGACAGAGAGACAGAGACTAACACTTCTAATAGCAAGAAGCTTAATACTGGAGTGACGGCTCTATTAGGAATATTTCCGTTCATTGTCCACACAGGAGGCCACTTCTTTTATATGATCCTAGGTTTAGGGAAACACTTCCATCTCAAGGTAACAGGAAATCGGTTAAACAATAACTGATGATAGCATCTTCAGTCACAAAAGCTTCAAAATGTTCAACTAAACATACTTATTTAGAACAAATCTGCATGTTGCTTAAGCCCTGACTCCAGTGAGTGACGGCATTAATGATTTCTCCAAAAATGCACCATACAATGCACACACAATTGCAACAATCCCATACAATGTGGGCACGGATTGTAAATAAGCACTCATTTATTTGAATCCACTTTAATTTACCCGGCCACTTAACAGACACGCAGAGCGGATCCTGGTGAATGACTTGTTTGGAGTCGTCTGTTTCCTAAATGACTCTGTGTTATTAAAACTAAATTGGTATTCGTGTTATCAACTTAAAAACTGCTGCTTTACACCTGCCGTAGCCATGGTGACAACGGCTGCCAACTGGCTGGAGTAATGATAGTGTCTCGGAAGGTGGTGGCGAAGTCCATAGGGACTCGGCTTGGCAACTGGAAGGTCACCAGTTCCGGAAAGACCAAGTGCTACCGAGGTGTCCCTGAGCAAGGCACCGTTCCCAACACTGCTCCCCGGGCGCCGTACATAATGGCAGCCCACTGCTCCTAACACTAGGATGGGTCAAATGCAGAGAAACCGTTTTGTTACATAGTACCTGTACTACGTAATGACAATAAGTTCAATCTTCTTCTAAGGAACTGATACACAGGATGGGGGAAGACTAAAGGAGAGACTCTGTCTTCAGCCAAAGAGAGAGGTAAATAATCAGTCAGTACTGAAGACATAATCAATAGAGCGGGCAGTGTGTCAATAAGTAAGAAGTGTATGACAAGCTGCCTCAATACAAGAAGATGAACAATGCCACGACGTATGCCATGTATGTCATTTTCTAAACAGTGTTATTGTACTCTTACTGTATCACTTTCAAAAGTTACAATAACATGCAATATATGTCAAAGGAAATTGCAGTTATGGGTAATGCACCTTTTCCAGCAGGATACTATGCTGCCTCTGTCCAACTTTTCTAACAATTGATACATCACTCCGATTTTTTTTCAAGGAACAATTCCTTCTTCTAAATTTACATTTTTATTAGGAGTTTCTTCTTCTGTCTTACATAACAGTATATGAATATCTTTAAAGACCCATTTTAACGTTCATATTTTTATTCTGTGCCTTTACTGAGACAATGTACATGCGTAAAAACCTTTATAAGTATGCGTTTGTAATCAGTTAAAACCAAAGCAAGGTCCTATTAATGAGAGTAAACATTTAAGTGTGAAACTCAAGTATTGTTGCCAGGGGCGTAGCTGGGGGGGGGAGGTTAGGATGATTCCAAGGGCCCAGCACTGGGGGGGGGGGCCCAGAGAACACTATTATTATCTTTTTATTAATATGGTTTTATTATTATCCTAAAGTAAGTTAATGTAGATGACTCAAAAGTATAACTGCCTGTATTAAAAAAAAACGTCACAAAAGAAACAAACAGGTGCTTGTTACTCTGTTTGACAGAATGAGCAGCCCTCCCTTCATTCATTGCATGGTATGGGCGCCTGAGCAATGGAGCAAGCGGAGCAGGTGCATCCCCACAATTGACCTTGGGGGAGCAAACGTGTGCTTTTGCACCCCCACTTTTTGATCATATGAAAAATATGATATGTCCCCCCCAATATATCACTGTAAACATAAGTATGTAATTTCAATCGAATTAATAATACGCAATGAAATAACTTGTGCTGATTATAGACACTTAATAGCAAGTTTTTAAGTTTCCAAAGATTGTGACCCCCCCCCCGCATTTCGCTCACAATGGTTTGATCAACTGCCTCCTACCCACAGCAGTCCTGATGCAGGTAGGCTGAGTGTAAATCACCGCGACCAGTCTGTCATTGGTGGCAGACCTTTTCAGTAAGTTGTTCAAACAAAGAATATGTTAGACATGTCTTTACTTCTACCACTCAATACAATAAAACACATTTATAATCATCACCTTCTCTTCATTTTTCGCTGCATTGAATTACAGGTCACTCTTTATGTTAACTAGCGGTTAGCTGACGTTTGATGCGACATCCTTTACTAGGCTCACCCACCAACAGTTCAGGTGCTGAACTGCTGATCCGAATGTATAGGTAAAAACCATATTATGCGTTTTCATCAATAAATAAATGGCCAATTTTTTTTAGCGTGCGCGCTAACGTGCACTCGCATGGATTGGGGTCCCACAAATAGATTCTTTCATGGGGCCCAGAATTTCCAGCTACGCCCCTGATTGTTGCTATGGTTACATGCAGTTTATTGTATTGCAGTTTGTAGAGGCATATCATTTCATGAACACCTGCCAAATGATTTCTGTTGCCATAAAACATCTACAATTACAGTATAACATGGTGGGGAAATGACAACTGCTTGTGACTGTGAAGAGGAGCACCTTCTTTTCTCTGCTCCAAACTCATTATTAAACAAACACAATGAGAGTTTTCAATTGAAATATCTGCTTACTTAAATATATTTTGTATTGTGTTTAAAATAATATCTCTTAGAGTTTTACAATTTGTACATTTGGCATCTTCTTAAATCAATGAATTATTGTATGTTTCTTCTTGTATAATCATGAGGATTGCATCATACATCATTTCTTTTTCACCTCATAATCCTGCAATACGGAATCATTATTGCTTCCAGTTGAAGTATGCATTACCAGTTACTGTAAATGGCTGTGTTTTCCTCTCTGAAGTCGGGACAAACATTTGAAGAAAAAAAGAGACCTGTTGAAAGTCCTCCACTGAAATAGAGCAAAATCACCCACGGATAAATGATAGTATTTCATATGCTCTCTATCTAATGGTGTCACAGAAAACAGCTGGTTGTCTGAGATAGAGGGAAAAGAGACATCCTTGCATACAAACAAACAAGTCTTATCCTCCCCTTACCTCCCCATCCCCACCATCTGCTCCAAACCTTCTTTCCAGGAGAAATAGAAGAGGTGGACTCCATACTGCTGCACTTGTATGATTATGCAAATGATCACATGCATATTCAAATCATTAATTATTCAGAGTCCTCTCAGGATATTGGTGGGGTTTGTGGTTTAGTGCTGGGATAGAAATATGTATCTGGCTGGCAAGCACCTGCATGATTTGACCTTTACAGTAGGGAAATGAAGGATTGTTTTCATGGTGTGAATGACTGAAAAGGAGGAGGAGAGGGAATTGGAAAAAGGGAAAGAGAGAGAGAGATAGGAAGCCCGGGGGTCCTGACATACATTTAGCTGACTGTGACAGATATGATTCTGAAGACAGTGGTTTGTGGTACATTTATAAATTGAAGCAGAAGGACTGATATCTCTGCCTGGGACTCTGTGCCAATTACACTGCATGTCAGGTAAGTGATTATCCCCTTAGACCTCCTCTGTGAACTTGTCACCTTCCTGAAAGTATACTGATAAATGGGTTTTTGTGTTATAAAGCAATAACACTGGAAAGACAAGGGTTCCCTATCACTGTGTATGGAGTCGTCAACCTGAGCAACCTGATCATATGATTCAATCTTGAATGACAAGATAGACCAAATACCTCAATATTGCAATGATATTGTAGGGTTGACATTGGTGCTATCACCACATAGTTATCAAGTTAGATTGTTGATAGATAAGCATCAATATTGTGAAAAAAATGATAAACAAACAACAGAGTGGTAAATTAAGAAGATAAGACGATATCAAAATCTAGGAATAAATCCAAACGATATCAATATATTGCTTAGCCCTACAATTAGGGTTGAATACAAAGCCTACATTATAGCACTACAGAAGCATTGAATCCCTTTCCATCATCGTCATACTATAGGTTCAAGGGCTAAGTATCAATGATCCTCTGATCTGAATTCAATGAGTTTTATTTTAGCTCATTACCTTGAAAGTCTTGTCCATGGAGGCAGACATCAGCAGATGGCTGAGCTGAGGCACAGGACACCACTGCACTGTGTTGACGGGCCCCTGGTGGCCCCCCAGCCTCGTCAGGAGCCTACGCGGTACCCCTGCAGCACCAGCCTTGTGGGCGAGATACGGCTTTACTCTGGCCGACACTTCTGAAAGAATTTGGCTTTCCCTGGTCTGATTCCCTGAGGCTTGTACTCCTGGGTGTTTTGGGTCCGTTATCTCCACCGAGGGGCCCAGTCTCTGTCTCTTGGGGATGTACGGTCTCACACCAGGCTGGACAGTGTGATGTCTTTTTGCTGAGTTCAACCCATCGCTGAAACTTTGTGACATATGAGGAAGAGTCTGCATTGGTGAGATAATTCTCGGAGTCACAGGTAAACTCAGAGGAGCAGCAGTATCTCTAAAATGTTGTTTTGGTGCCGTCCTGTCACTGCAATATTTTCCATCCCAACTCTGAGGTTGTGAATGTGGGTGTAGGGAAGAAATGCTTCTTTCCGAGGCATTTTCATGATATTCCAACACTGAACTGTCAGGGTCAAGTGTGAAACTGTGAGGGCACGGTGTTATCTTTGGGGAATGACACATCTTGACATCTTGGTTTTGTTTAAAAGATCCAGTTTGGAGAGAAGCTGTGAATCCCTCCTCTGTTCGATCATGATCATCATCTTCAGACTCTGAATCCTCGTAGGCCACTAATGATGACATGTTCACATGAGGACAACCTGTGTGAAAATAACCCAGAGGGGAAAAAGGGAAAACAGATGAGATGTCAATCCATTGGAGGCCCAAGGGTGACATCTAGTGGTTGCTTGTATTGCTCCCCTGTTACTTTTAGATGTGTTACAGCCATATGTAAACAACAGCAACCCTGATCCTGATCCAGATCCTTTTAGGGAGGTCCATCATTTCAATGTGTGCATTTTAGCCTTTACTTTAGCTTTCGTCACATGTTTGAGGTCCTTCCATCAGTCAACACAAAGCCAAAACTTAGTAATGCTAGCTAAACTCAGAAACCTTGGATAGAACAAATCACCTATATATAATTCCTTACGTTAGTTAAGAAACATAAGATACATTAAAGACAGGACGCCGTCGTATTACGTAAACGCAATTGTTACATTCTGAAGTTAGATTATGTGTTGATTTATATACAGTCTATGGTTGAATGGAGCAACATTTGCTAATGTTGGACGTTTGCATTTATGACTGAAAGTCTAATAAAGCTTACAAAGTAGAGCTAACGCTACCCGATTCATCTGCATTAAATTGTCGTACCTGAAACTTGGTTGAACAAGTAATATCCGACTTCTGAGCGTTAAATCAGTCATACATCAGGTTCAACATCCCGCAAAATCATAAAAGATTATGCAGTTTCAGATTAAAACAAATATCTCGATTTGTCCACTCCACTCCACTACGCGCACATTTGCATGCTTTTATTTTGAAAGCTTCCGGTAGGGGCAGAACAGAAGTGGTTGTCACACTGATACTACTCCTACGATGTATACGTATTTACAATTAGTTTAACTTGAGGATTTTCAATTAATTTAACATGAACACATATTAAACACTTCTGCATATTAAATGTACTAAAAATAGCTTTTTTATTATTGGTATTTCTCCTTATTAATGTATAACGGAACCTTTGAAGGAGCCTGTTTCCCTGGGAATTATATTGTCCAAACACCACCTCACTCAGGCTGAAACTGATGCAAGTTGTATGAGTGAGCTGTCAACTGTGTGAAGAATATTATAAGGTATGCCGGCTAGTCGCTTATCTAATAGATGGATACACTAAAATGACATACTCCATTATTTAATGTATGTTATATATGTTTAATTATATGAAATACCGTAGCGTAAGGTTATTAATCTACAGGCGTTATACGATTAGCTAGTTCGCTGTGGTCGGTTCACATATGGGATAATCCCAACTGCTGAGATACAGTATTGCTAAAGCAGATGCACTCAGTAATTCTGTTAACCTCATACTAAAACATGTTTCTTTCATTAATGTTGTGTATTGGTCTGTAATATACTTTAAATGTATATTACCTGTATCTGTTGAAGGATGGCAGAGTGTCAAGGAGACGGGGAAGGAGCCAAGAGTCCAATGGAGCTCTACGAGAAACTGACAGCACAAGGAGAACAAGTCAGGGCGTTGAAAACAGCTAAAGCGACTAAAGTAAGTGTTTATAAACTACAATGGAAAACAGTGATGTTACTCTCTGGGATATAACTTTTCTCACCAACTGTGACTAGCCTTGCAGGTAGTTTTGGTTTTTATTGTTTTGACATGTGTGCAACAAACCCATTATGATAATATAATGTGATGAATGCAATTTCGTTTGAGCACTGTTGGAAATAAGAAGGATTACATTTGTATATGAGTTTTGCATCAGTGTGATACTTTGTTGTTATTCCAATCCTAGAGTAGTCATTGTTTTCTAGTTATTTCCCAATCATTTTAGTAAGTTATCAGTCGATTTACTAGAAAATGTATTATTCAATCATATGTATATCAATATTGCGATTTAAAGTTACATACACCGTAACTACCCTAGCTGAAAGCAGTGAAAAGAGACATTTTAAACTATTCAAAAGCAACATATTTCTTCCATAAACCGGGCCTATTTCCTCTGTAAAACCCACAGAACATGCTGTAAAAGTTTTCACAGTAACCATTTCTCAATTTGTAGAAAGTGGTTCCATTGAAAAGTTGTTAGTGTGGATTTTCCAATGTAGCCGGGACATTTATTTCTGAAACAACATGACTATCTAATCACTTTAGTCTTTTGTGAAGCACACCCACTAAGCACCACAGTACCACTTGAATCTGTTGGGATTTGGTTTCTTTTTTCTGTGTGAGTCATATGACGGTGGTGTTTGGCTCCCTGTAGGCTGATGTTGATGCTGCTGTCCAGCTGCTGATAAAGTTGAAAACAGACTACAAACAGATGACAGGTCAGGACTACAAAGCAGGCTGTCCACCTTCAGAGAACTCTGTTGCCCCCGACAACGGGCCAGCAGCAGGTGGCGCTGATGATGAAGACACAGTCGACCCGTGGAACGTTTCCACGAACAACGCCAAGGGAGTGGATTATGAAAAACTCATATGTAAGATTCAAATTAACTTCACTTATTGCCTTCAATAAAGAACTTTATGTTTTTTTACAACAGTTACAATAATTTTGTTTTCTCCTAAATGTACTTTGAACTATGAGGTAATTTAAGCTACACAGCATTGACATCTGAGTTGTGTGGTCTTTCCTTAGTGAGGTTTGGCAGCAGTAAAGTTGACAAGGAGCTGGTGGACAGAATAGAAAAGGTCTCGGGACAGAAGCCTCATCGCTTTCTAAGAAGAGGAATCTTCTTCTCACACAGGTCAGCCTTTAAGGAACTGAAAATATTTCATCATTGTGTTCTTTTCCTCATTTCTGACTTCTAGTGTGTGGGTGTTTCACAACCACTTTTGCAATTTATCATCTCATAAAAGAGTGTCATATATACAAATATCCACTCTGAACCTTTTCAAACAAAGACACATCAATATATTTATTTTCTCTTATTGCTGTTTCTGGTAGGGATATGCATCAAGTGCTGGATGCGTATGAGAAGCAGAAGTCCTTCTACCTTTACACTGGCAGAGGTCCGTCATCTGAGGCCATGCACGTTGGTCACCTCATCCCCTTCATCTTCACCAAGTGAGTTCTCCCTCTTTAATGTTTTAATACCAAAGCGCTGTTAATTAAAAGCACATTTAAGCGTAAAATCAGCAGGGCACCATCTAGAATGAAGCTAGTTACACTTATGTCCTTCTTTGCAGGTGGTTGCAGGATGTATTCGACATTCCCCTCGTGGTCCAGTTGACTGACGATGAGAAGTACCTGTGGAAGGATCTATCACTAGAAGACTGCCACCGCTTTGCTGTGGAAAACGCCAAAGACATCATTGCCTGTGGCTTTGATGTCAACAAAACCTTCATCTTCTCTGACCTCGACTACATGGGGTAATTATGACAAAAAGTATCTTTGTATTTCCTCCAGACAAACCTTACTGCTAAGGCCTTTGAGGATGCATATAAGCCCTGCCATATATACAAGGACAATTCTGCTTTTAAAGTATCTGTTAATGGAATGGAATTTTAGTCAAGAGTTGTTTCTAAATGTGTTCATTCCATTTTATTGTCTGCAGTGCATCCCCTGAATTCTACAGAAATGTGGTAAAGGTCCAGAAGCATGTGACGTTCAACCAGGTCAAAGGAATATTTGGCTTTACCGACAGTGACTGCATTGGTAAGACAACTAAGAACTGGATAAAATAGACTAGAGAGTCATTCTTTGAGCAATCAATTCTCCTTCTCCTTTTTAAAAGAACAAAATGATAAATTACTCTTGTTTTGATATGCCTGTTGTGTCATCCTGGGTTTGTGGTTTTGTTACATCATCTCCTGGTCCTGAATTGCAATCATGTGAATACCATGTTGGTGATTGAGCGTGTCTTATTTTCTCCATCCATCCAGGAAAGATCAGCTTCCCAGCCATCCAGGCAGCGCCGTCCTTCAGTAGCTCTTTCCCACAGATCTTCAAAGGCAGAAAGGACATTCAGTGTCTCATCCCCTGCGCCATAGACCAGGTCAGGACACCATCGCATTAAAGGTCACCTATTATGCTTTTTCATGTCTGTTATACATCAACATGTGTCCCCTCTGTGTAAAGAGACTCTGAAAGTTTCAGGAAAAAAATATTCGCTCACTTTTTGTCCTGATCCATTTATATAAAAACCTGTCTGAAAATGAGCTGATCAGATTTTGGCCACTTTATGATGTCATAACGATTTTTTGGCTTCTGTAACCATTAGCCAATCACCAACCCCCTCACCTTATCACCTGAATCTCCTCCTAAAGCACCATTGTGTTCTTTTTAACCAAATCTCTCTCAGAGGGGCGTGGGGAGTGGCTCCTTATTTTCATCTAAAGTAACAGACAGAGAATCAGCACTTTTGAAACTGGGCTGAAACAGAGGGGATTATGGGATGCTACAATGCACGATCTGTTTGGTGTTTGGAGACATGTTTTGTATATATTGGTGAAAAACAGTATAATAGGGGACCTTTAATAGTCTACAACACCACAAACTAATATTGCACAGTCACATGTATTGATATTTATTTTCTTGCTCCCCCAGGACCCCTACTTCAGGATGACCCGTGATGTAGCTCCAAGGATCGGCTATCCCAAACCAGCCCTGCTGCACTCCACCTTCTTCCCCGCCCTGCAGGGGGCACAGACCAAGATGAGCGCCAGTGACGCCAACACCTCCATCTTCCTCACTGACACACCCAAGCAGATCAAAAACAAGGTGCTGCCCATACTAGTTATTTCTCTGAATAGTTATCAGTCCGTTTCATATCGCTTATGATTGCTTAATGACCTGTGTATCCACGTCTCGCAGGTCAACAAACATGCGTTTTCGGGAGGAAAGGACACAGTGGAAGAGCACAGGAAGTATGGAGGAAACCCAGACGTCGACGTTGCCTTCATGTACTTGACATTCTTCCTGGAGGATGATGAACAGCTGGAAAAGATCCGACAGGTGAGAGTTTGGAGAAAAGAGGAAATATATAATGTTATTTTGCTTATCAGACCCTTTTCTCTATTTTGTTTTCCTTCTTCTTACGATAAATGGAACTCTTGTTTTGCTTTCTCTATCCACCCTTGAACGCTTTATCTTGGTTTTCCATTCCTCTCGGCTCACTGATCGTCCTCTTCAACTTCCTTTTTTCACATTCCTCACATCCACTCTTTCTATCTTTTCTCTACAGGATTACGCAAGTGGAGCTCTCTTAACAGGAGAACTGAAGAAGCTTTTGATCGAGACTCTGCAGCCAATGATTGAGCAGCATCAGCAGCGACGCAAACAAGTCACAGAGGAGGAGGTCAAGCAGTTCATGACTCCCAGACCTCTACATTTTAACTTCTAGCATGCTTGATGAGATGTCAAGCTTCATCATGTCACTAAATGTTATACACGAGGAAATAAGTATCTTTCTCCATTCCACATTATTAGGAATACAAACGTTTTCTCTTTCAGTTTGCATCAGACCTGGAGAAAATAAAACTAAACTAAACATGGCATTGCCTTTGACGTCATGCAACTTGTTGGCTTCACTCTGCACCAAATGTACACATCCATCTCCATGAAGTGTTTGTGTTGGAAGCGCTGCTTTACTCTCTGCCCTGAATTCAGATCAGGTTGAATTAAAATTAAATCGAAGTATAAGGGAACATTGTGTCAATTTCTTACTATCAGGGTTCGTACGGGTGCTTGGGAAAGTGCTTGAATTTTGGGAATGGTGCTTGA